GGAGCTCCAGCAGCGAGGCCAGCCTGGCTCCCCGCTGCCTCCTCAGCAAGCAGAGCCGCCTGCTCAATGGGACCACCCGGGGCAGCCGCACTGCCTCCCCCATGGGCCGCGTCATCCTCATCAACACCCCCATTGAAGGTGCGTGGGGTGCCCTCCTGTCCCTCTGCCCACCCGCATGCCCAGGGTGGGCCCGGACGCCTGGGTTCCCTGGGGCTCGGGGTAGGGAGGCTTGTCCTGGGACAGGGGACATCCCCAGCAAGAAAGACACACACCCCCAGTTGCCCGCACCCAGCCCGGGTGACACATCCCATCCCCTGTCCCCACAGCCAGCAGTAACGAGAGTGACATCATCAACGCCATCACGGTGGAGAAGAGCATGGACGGCAAGCTGGGCTTCAGCGTCCGTGGTGGCTCCGAGCACGGGCTGGGCATCTTTGTCAGCAAAGTGGAGGAGGGCAGCGCTGCCGGTAAGTGGGACAGGGCGAGGGACACCAGTGGGGACAGTCACGTGCCAGCAAGACCCTCTCGGGGAGCTCCCAGTGACATGGTGCCGCAGTGATGATGCTACCCATCATGGTGGCCAGCCACCGTTTGCTCCCTGCCACCTCTGGCCATGGGGTTTTCAGGCGTCCCACGGAGAAGGGCAGGGGACAGGAGTGGGCAGCCCCGTGCCGATGGCTCTGTGCTCCATCCCCAAGCCACAGCGAGGTGACAAGGCCCCCCATGCCTGCCACAGCCTCAGTGCGATTGCCAGGCATCCCCACCTCTGTTCGTATGGGGTTTGGATCAGGTTGGGGACACATTTAGGGAGGGGACACCAACCAAAGGCATGGGTACCAGGTCAGGTGCCCAGCTGAGCCATGTACCCTTTGCAGAGCAGGCTGGGCTGTGTGTTGGTGACAAGATCACGGAGGTGAACAGCGTGAGCCTGGAGAACATCACCATGAGCAGTGCCGTCAAGGTCCTCACTGGCAACAACCGCCTCCGCATGGTGGTCCGGCGGATGGGCCGTGTGCCGGGCATCAAATTCTCCAAGGAGAAGACAGCGTGGTGAGCAGGGCATCCGCCATGTCGGCATCCCAAAGCCCAGCTCCATGGAGGACACGGTGGGGAGGCCTGGTGGGGGATGCTGGGGGATCCCCAGGGTGTGGGGGCATTGGGGATCCCCAGTGAAGGTGGGAAGAGCCCAAGGTGGGGCACAGGATGGGATAGGAAGGTCTGGAGCAGGCAGGGCGGGTGCAAGCCCCATCCTCACCGTCCCCATCACTCTCGTATGCTGGATGACACCAATGTCCCCATCTTACTGGAGAATGAGAGCCGGACCCCTGAGTCTTCCCCAACACTGTGCCCGTGCTCCAGGGTGGACGTGGTGAACAGGCGCTTGGTGGTGGAGAAAAGCGGCTCGACACCTTCAGAGAGCGGCTCCGAGGATGGGCTGCGGCGCATCGTCCACCTCTACACCACCTCCGACGACTACTGCCTGGGCTTCAACATCCGCGGCGGCAGGGAGTTCGGCCTTGGCATCTACGTCTCCAAGTACGGCTGCCCCTCCCTGGCTGAGCCCCCCACCCTCACAAGTCGGGGGGGCATCACCACCATGGGCGCTGGGGCACAGGGCCACCCAGGCGGAGGTGTGGGGCAGGAGCAGGGCTCTGGTGAGGGCTCAGCCCCATCCTGCACCCCCCCGCTGCCCTAGGGTGGACCCTGGGGGGCTGGCAGAGCAGAACGGCATTCGGGTGGGAGACCAAGTCCTTGCAGCCAACGGAGTCAAGTTTGAAGACATAAGCCATAGCAAGGCAGTGGAGG